TTCAGCTCAGGAATGCTCTTAGGTGGTTGCTTAACAGAGTTTCAGGACAGCATATCTTGAATCTAACTGACTCTATTCAGGCTGAAGTAACACAGTCTGATTTACTGTGGGTGGGATAGTAAAATCATGAAAGAAAGAACTTTAGATATTTATCTTTAATACTTTATTTAGATTTATTAAGAGTCTAATTAATTTTTAGGAGTAGTTAATTTATTTAAAGTCTACCTTGGTTTATTAATTTATCTACACCTAAAAATATTAAATTACTTGTCAGCCACATTGGATCCAATTTCCACCTCAGAAATCTAAACACCTACATTTGTGCCTTAGGTGTCTTTTATATTCCTCATGTTGGTTTATCTAAAATTCCTGCATTGTATGCTACTACATACTTTCCAGTATCCTGTATTTCTTGGCAGTTTGCAAACACAGACTGAATTATAGGGAAGTTTAACTCTTTGAAGGAAGAGGGAGTGTAAGACTCCTCCGTGGTTTTTATTGGCATCAAGTATTACATACTTCATACGAACACAGGCCTTCTTTCTGGAGCAGACTGGATGGAAGGGACCAAGAAAGGCAGAGAGATGAGAAAAAACACATAGAAGCTGACGAAGTAGTGTTGTCCAAAAAGAAGGGCATTTTATTACATAATGATACTGCAACCTGTACTTTTAGTGAGTCCTAAAAAGCTTCCGTATTTATGTAATCTCTGAAAAGCTAAAACTGCATTTAGAGATTACTGATATTGAAATTCAATAAATAGTAGTAACAAATGCTGAGCTCTTAAAATAAATTGTGACATTGCCTAAAAATACTGAAAATCAGAAAGCATAACTAAAACTCTCAGAATTATCTGCATGCACACAGACACACATTCAACTATACCAGCACTTTCGTATGTGAGGAAATGGTAAATACAATATATCTAAAAGAAAAAGTCACCATGTTTTAAAATCTCTTAAGCTTCTTAATATACACATTGGTGTATCTTGTTTCTATTATGCTTCGTTTTATGATTTAACTCTTATATGGAAAACTCTGCACGACTCACTTTTGGATTTAGTAGTGGGACAAATTATGTTCCCTCGCCTTTCTCATGCTAAAACAAAACCACTGTCCTGTACTTTCTCTGTAATCCTGACATGGTGATACTTGGGAATACTCTTAAAGTTGAACATGTCTATTGATGAATATTTGTTTTGTTAGATCAGGTCATAAAAGCCCATGAATCCATAGATAATGACAGATGGACTTAGACAGATACTGACAAAAAAATCACAAACACAAAGTTGAGGGTGCTTAGATTTTCTCTTTTTTAAATAAATTAAATCTTGGCCTACAAAGATAAAATTTACTACAGTGTTGTAAACAGTGAAGCTGGTAAGAAAAGCAGTAGACTAAGATACCCCCCCTATATTTCTCCAACTTTAGAGTGATTTATAAATATCACCTGAGTAACCAAATGATATGCTTGACAATGGACTAAGGTAGATTCCACTTCCAAACATTGCACCATGGAGCTGAAAAAGAGCAGAGTGATCATTTAACATTAATTTGGTTATCTGGACAAAATAATAATGATAGGAACAGGTCGTAATATAGATAAGCATCTGCCCCACTGCACTGATATATTGCCTGGTGATAAAAAGTGTTCAAAGAAGTCTTTAAAAAAATCATGCTTGGAATATAAAACTAAAATACTGGAAATATACAACTAACAATCTGGAAACCATGACTGAATGCCCAAACATAACTTTACATCAGCTTTATATAAAAAACTGCATTTTCTGTTTTTAAATCTAACAGTACCATGGAGGATGCCTACAGAGGGTGCTTCTGTACATGGCCAAATAGACCTCAGCCTTAACAAGGCTTAGCAAGCTCAGCATGTGTCTCACATCAAAACCTTGGCAGGAAGCACAGTCTAAGCCAGCCTCTGTGAATCAACAGCAGCAACAGCTGCTTTTTTTTTTTTTTTTTTAAGGTGCCACAGTTTTTTTTTAAGGTTCGAAATTAAGAGATGGTGACGACACTGGTCACATGCCATAGAAAAATTTAGTCACTAGTTCAGCCTGAATACTGGAGGAATGGGTTCAATCAAGCTTTTGCCTGAGCCAGTTCAGACATGCATATCCCACCACTGCAGGACTGCGCTTTACCTGCAAAGCTACGAGCTGTCTGAAAAGAATAGAGGAAAGGGAAGACTATTCTTCACCAATGTCACTGTTCCACGTCATGAAGCTTGGGCTAAGCAACAAAAGTGAGCACTTTTTATTAGCCCTGCAGTCATTTTCTTGTCTGGAAAGGGGAAGTATGGGTTTCACTTCTCCACCACGGACTGACTGCTTTATGTGGAAAAGCCTTTAAAGAAAACACACCAAGTAGCTGTTGGGGCACAAATGAGAACCCAGAGTATCTCCTACCTACGTAGATGTTATGACCACTGGGCTTCAGAGTCATGTTCACCCTTATTTCTTTCCTCTGACCCAATGATATTTACATTGTCTCTGCAATGTGCCAGAGCTCTCATATGAATGTGCAAATATGCTTTCACTCCTCCAGATCCTACAATGTTGTACAGGATCCTTGGTGAGTAGATATTTTTCCTGACGGGTTGGTACTGGGGTAAATAGGACAAACTGGGCTCAGGATATGCCTTAGGTGTGTGAGAGATCTAAAAATGATGAATTGTATAAAATAGGGCTTTACCGCTTCCTCCTATTCCCAGTATCTCAACCCTCAACAAAAAAATAAGCATAAACAAAGGGGTTTACTTTGGTGAATTTTGGTGTGTAAATCCTGCTTTCCTGGGGAAGTATCTTCCAAAGATACTAATAAAAACACCCAAATAACTAAGAGGAACTGCAGAGATTTCCATTTCTTTTTTTTCAGTGTCTTCTGTACCCCGATCCTTAGTCAGCACCCTGGGATCCTCCGCCAAGGTATCAAGGACTCAGGTCTGGGGAAGAGCTGTCAAAACCATGAAGCTGAAATACTCTGAGTGGCAGCTCCTGAATCCCTCTGGTATTGCCTACTTTGCTCTGCAATAGTGGTCTCCTGATGATGCAGTCTGAGAAAACAAACTGAAGTTTGCAATAGCTCCCTCCTGGCCAGTACACTCACATTTCCATTCTCAAGGAAACCAGAGGACAAGAGAAGATGCTGTAAACCCAGTTCCTGTAAATCTAGTATGCTCTTGGATCCTACAACATGGAAATTGTTTAGCTCTAAATTTTAATCCCAAAACTGCTTTTAAGCAGTACTGAGGTAAGCCTCCTGGAGGTGCTGCTCTGCAATGTAAAACTGAAACACTGATTACAGCAATGGGATTTTCTAGACATTTTAGCAGACACAATATTTCATTCTAATTGTACCAGAAAATTACGTTTTCCAGGAAACAGGAGGGTATTTGAAATCATCCCTTTTTTCCACCTATATGACTACCAGGACCACACGCCCTGAAAACTTGCCCAGGCTAGTATGTAATCAAGCACGCACAGGCTAGCTAAAGTCTGTTTAGTGTACTATTTACCTGCAGCCTCGTATTGGAAGCAACAACTAAGCCGTTCCTCAGAATGGAATGCCAATTTTCAATGTGTGAACCACTGAAAAAATGAAAAAGAAAGCATTAAAATCCACAATGTAAAATGTAAAATGAAATCAGGAATCCTTTAAAACAATAAATTCACAGCTGTAAACGTCAAATGGCAAGAACAAAAAAATAGCATTGCATTTTGATAACCTTTGATTAATATGAATATATGTACTTACTGAAATGCAAAGGTACTTCCGTAGAGATTTTTAGCAGCTCGGAAATTGGATTCTTTGGCTGGTGGACTGCTGAGAAGCAGGAACTGGTGGGGAGTGTGCATAAACTTCAGTTGCTGTAAAATATAACAGTGCACAAGTGAAAAGAAGTTGATTAACGCAAAAGCACTGTATTTCTGTAATGGTAGCTCTTAAGATACCATGCTGTTTCGCACAGTATATGACTGCATCTAAATAGGTACATAAACTAAGTTGAAATCGGTCTCATTACCATAGTTTTTACCTGAAATCAAACAGTAAAAATGTCTTTCAGTTTATGAAACATATGGAAGTTTCTGAAACATATTTCAGCCTAATATGGCTCTAGTAAAGTAATTAAATTGAACAATTTCATCACGGTATTCCGATCAGAGCTGGCTTTGAATTACAGTTCAGATTTGAAAGGTTGCAGATTACTATGCCCTTAATCAGAGGATCGGACGCACACATACTCAGAAATTAATTTCAGCACCATCCCTCTAAAAGTCAAGAGCTATACTCTTTTTAAGGTGTACTCATATGTGGATCTCCTGGTACATTGTGTCTGTATCTAATATTCTATATGGTAGCAAAACACATAGTGAAGTTATTCTCACCCAATCTCAGACGACTGCAAGGGAGACACTTGTATTTCAGCTACTCACCTCAAACAGGCTTTTTCTAAGCATTATTCCTTTGACCTATTTTAGATATTCACAACATGATTCTATGAGTCATGACCTGAAACTGCCTGTTTCTCTCCCTTGTCTATTAATGGCACCCATGTGATTAGTCTGAATGCAGACACCTACGTTCGGCTAGGAGAATCCCACCTAAAATGCTAATATGAGCCATGAGAAATGAGAAAATAATAAAGAACCCACAGATACTTACCCTATTCACTGGTAGCTTCACTATATGTGATCTATTACTAGAAATAACCCTAAAATAAGAAACAGTTAGATGTATTAGACATGGTAATCAAACAGAACTTTCCTTCTTAAAAATGTGTTATGAATGATCACCACAAAGGACCCAGCTGCAGGTCTTTGAACCTATCAGATGGAAGTAGACCAACTCTTGACTAGAAAATGAGATCAGCGGCTGTACAAATAAGCTGGAGTCTTTCCAGTGTTTTCAGAGAGCCCAGATGAGGTCCAGAAACACCTGCAGTTGCAAACGTCAACCCTGATGTTAATTCTTAGGGTGAGCTTGTACCAAATTACACTGGTGAAGTGATTATACATTAAACTTGGTACTTTAATAATTATCATGTGAGTCAATTTTATACCATTGTAGAAGAGGATGTGCAAGCGGATCTTGTTTATCCATCTGCTTCTTTATTTCCAAGTAAGGTGCCTAGAAAAGAGTAATTACGTTCTTTATTTCTAGTTGAAATCATAAGGTTAAATTTTGTAAGTTACATTGCCCATGATTTCATCTATTAAAACGAATACAGGGGACTTATTATTAGGCTTAAATCATAGTTTTACTGACATTTAGCTTTGTACAGTTATAAATGTGTTTTGACAACAAGAATTAATATAGCAATTCTTTTCCCTGGAGTAATATAATAATCATATAATTAGCATCAAAATGAGTATATTATAACAAACATTGGTGATCTCAGGGAGAACAGCAGAAGACGTTTGGTTCTTGGATTAAGAAATTGGACTGGAACTTCACAAAATTAAGTCTCTCAACCCCAAGATAATTCACTCCATTTTTTTAACTGTTTCATGGTATAAACTGGTAAAGTAAAATACTGTATCAGCTTATAATCCCTTTGAAAACCTTTCTTGACTTCAATCACAGTGCAAAGCATCCCTTCAAAACTCTTCAGTCCAAGAATTATTTTAACTTTAAAAAAAAGCAAAATGGTGGTTATTTTTCTTTTTTTAAAACATTGTATTAGGTAACAGAAATACCTGATTTCTTAAATTTTTACAAGATGGTACATTAAGTAATGAAAATATGTGAATTTCAATTTTCAATTTATTTTACTCCTCTCTATACACCTCATCCCAGAATCCCAAAGTACTTTACAAATACATCTAGAGTAAGATTTATAAACTGTTGTGAGGTTACATTTATGGAGCAGTTGGAAAAGCAAGGTATATCATAGGAGAGATTTCAATAATCAGTTATAATCAGCTGGGCTGTTTGGGAAAGGAAGTGTAACAATAAACGTAAGTGCAGTTATCAGATTCTGTCTCACTGTGAATATTGAGAAATCATATGGTAGTAATCCCAAGAGACCCAGCCTTCCAAGTCTCCAACCATACTTAGCTGATCAAGTGTTTTGCTATAATAGAAATAAAGCTATCATTCAGAACACTGTCACAAAATCAATTTCTTTTGCTTTGGAAATAAAAGACCCAGTTTGACTTTGATGTTTCCAGAAATGCAGCAGTTGGTGATTATCTTGTTACAATGTTCCATTCTGCTGTTATTGCCTCTTATTTAAACTTCAAAAGATCTGAGTTCTACTTCATCACTTTTATTTGACTGCCATTATGGAAACTCTAGGTTCGTTATTTTTAACACACAATTTAATATTATTACCGCTCTATAGAAAAGAGATACTATTGACTTCCCCACCCATCATAGGCAAGGAATATAAACTTCCTAGTTCTAGAAATAGCGATTAAGATAGGTAAAGATTTTTAAACTCACCTGTGTCATCTCTCTAATAGAAGTGATACTGTCCAATGCTTTCATGACTCGGTCATAATTCTTCTTCTGATGTAGCATAAAATAAGCAAATAAATTAAAAGAATGTTAGTCTTTGGCTCTACAAGAACCTGAATTCTTTGTGTGTGTATAAAACTAAAGCTAGGACAAATGTTTAGCAAACCAATGGTTTCAAACGTTTCTAACCAATAGCTTCCTTCACCTCACACATAGACTCTCTCATTCATAGTCCAGGAAAATTCCCCCCAAAAATATTATGATGACGTTTTTTGTTTGAATTTCACTGGAATCTCCAACACACTCAAAAAATTAGCTCACTTTTTAAACAAATATTTGTAACTAAACAGAGGTTCTGACAATTATTTGGACAACATGCTATTAAGTTAAATAATGCAGTGACCAAATAGATTTTAAATAAAATGCTAAATAAACAACAGATGCATTTACTTTGCTAACAGCTCTATAAAACATCATTGGTCCCTTCAGTTGTCCCTCTGCCTGAACCTGATCCTTGCCTGCCTTCTGCCTGGGAACCATGACCAGACGGCTCCACCTTTTCTGAGTGGATGAGCTTAACAGTCCATGCTTCACCAGCTCCACATGTCATGTCACCTTCAGGAGCTTCATTGTTCGCCATCTTTGGGTCTTGCCAGCTTCTACGCATGAGCTTTCACCTTGCCCATGCTGGCAAGAAGCTGGGAGGAGGCAGTATGGGCCCTGCCAGCCCAGAGGCTCTCTCCATTCCTCTTCTGGTGTGACCCTTTCATATTCCCTCATCTGCTTCAAACTCCTGCCTTGCCCAGCCACCAGACTAGCTGTCTCCTCATCAGCCCCCTTCCAAGAACCTCCTGGCAAGTCCTTCTTCCCACATGCTACAGAACACGCTTGTCCCTTCCTGAAGAAGAACCACTGCTAACTGGCCTTTGTTCAGAAAAAGTGAAATGCATCCCAATGCAGGACATCTCAAGTTCTCATTTATACCCTTGGGGATGGCTCAAGTGAGATGTAATAGTTCACAGCTTCTCGAGGACTTCCCTGAGAGGCAGTATTTGCAGCCTGAGGCGCAAGTAGTGCAAACATAATTCTTTACTTCAAAATTGATGCTTGTACAAAACTCGACTATTATGTCAACATTTGATAAAGTTACATTTAAGGACATAATTGTTTGCAAAGAGAAAATGAGATGACAGCAATAACCACTTTAAGAATAACGAGATGGACTAGAAATCCTCTGGTTTACATGGTCTACATCTCCCACGGGGCCATCTTTCTCTTTGTGTCCAACGTGTACACTTAGAGAAAGACACTAATAGTGTAAAATTTTGCATCTAGAATTTGTACACTAAAAGAATTTCTTGGCTTCAACATCAACTTTTAATGCAACTTACAGTTTATACTCAAATACCTTCTCAGAGACAATTAAAAAAGCTACAAAGTTCTGAAAAGTCACATGCTTGTGCTATATTCTGGAGCTGTATCTCTTATAGTAAAGGAGACTCATCCAGAAGAAGGCTTTGCTTTGAAATCTCATGCATGACTAAAACCAAGTTATGACATAATGAAAGATAACTACTTACTCTGGGGTTAAAGGCCAGCATCTGAGGATCATTAGGATCAACTACAGAAGGATATGGCTCAAAAATGACAACTTTCCTAGGTGACTCTAATGCAGACCGACACATGGATACTAATAGATCAACCACCTAAGGATAAAGAAAAATATTTATTCAGTATATGTATTTTCATATTGTATCTTCCAGTCTGCTTTTTTTTACACATTATAGTAATACCATATTAATATTTTATTTTTTTCTATATTATCCAAACTGTGTTTTCCACAGGACCTAGTTTAGGACTGAAATTTTTCCATTGACCTCAACAGGCTTCAGGTCCAGCCCTGGTACATTATTCCAGGTGCATAAGTAGGACGAGTATCTGGTTCTAAATGTATTATCATGTCAAATACATTCTTACGGTCCTGCTTTCTGTTGTGCACATGTGCTAATTCCTGGATTAAATTCATTCTCTATGGAAATGAAGTTGTGCTGGATCTGTGTATCTCTGTACAGTACACGGCAGTGAAAAATGTTGCTCAAGAATGAGGAAGGGACTGTGAATCTGTACCACCGCCTGCTGTTCTCCTGAAGACTGTAATCATAGAAACACTTGTAAACATTGCTTCTGCTAAAGCCAGAACAGTGCACTGATTTAACAGTCATTTTCACAGCTCAAACTCTTCCTTCCATCCCGTTGTACAAAATTACGACATGGCTTTGAGTATCTATGATTTCCAAGATTGCACTGTAAGATCATGTGTGTAGTTTGTATACAGGCATGTATTCACATATGTGCACATAGACACATACACAACTTAGCAACAGATTTTTGTGTAATTGTTTCGAATTTGTAATTCAGAGTTTAAAAATAGAATACAGCAATCACAAACCAGAGAGAATGCAGCTTTCTGGCAGCTGTGAAACCTAAATCCAGCTCATAAGGAAATCCAAAGTTCTTACATAAAAATGTAGCTGAAAATTAGCTCATTTCACCCTGTTTTTAGTGTGCCTTCTGAAAACATTCCTGTGTGAAAACAGACTTTTCCATGAAAGACAGGAAAAGCTGAGACGAGTTGTACTTAGTAAGCATCTCTGGTTCCTCCCACAACTCCACAAGGATCAGATCTCATCTCACAGCTCAAGCTGTTCTAGAGGTTTTTATATATCTGCCGTTGTATCTGATCATTTGGAGAAAAAAAAAATGATGGTCCTTTAGAGAAGCAGAAGGAAAATAAGAATCATGATGAAAGGCAAAAGGAACTGCACTGTGGTGAGTCATGCTGTTGCCATTCTTCTCTTCTGCTCCTTTAGCATGAATGGACAATTTTCTCCATCAGTTTAAAAATATTCTGTTAGGTACAGTTACTAAGTATCTCACATATATTGAAAAATGAAGTTATTTAAATAATGATCCCTTCCTCCATGGTGCTTTGATTGCTTTCCAGTTTACAATACCTGTAAGTGTGATGAATATTTCAAAATAGGGCATCTGCCTTAGCATTTGCAAATGAGACCAGGAGTCTGCATACACAGCCAGGTCAGGCAACAGGCCTG